TATTTATTATGTATACAGTGCTCTGACTGTATGTCTGCCTGCATTCCAGAAGAGGGCACCAGACCTCACTATGGATGGTTGTGAGCCATCACACAGTTGCCGGGAATTGAACTCAGGACCTCTGGAAGAGCAGCCAGTGCTCTTAACTGCTGAGTCATCTCTCCAGGCCAGAAAAGTCTTCTAAAAGTGATGACAAGACTAAAAACTCTACTGAATCTCTCAAGCAGCTACCAAGAGAAGTAAGTAAATTAAGCAAGGCTGCAGAGTAGAAAACCATCATAAAAATAACTAATTTATCCATATACACTAACAATTAACAATCAGAAACTAAATTTTAAAATTTATTATTTGTAATAGGAATATAAAACATACTATGGGACAGCCAACATATATATCTAAGACCCAGCTACTAAAAGCTAAAGACAATGAAATAAATGATAAAAGAACTGTAAAAGCGAGGTATAAACCATGTTTGAAATAAACACTGAACATAAAGATTACAATTCTTGCCAAATTGACCAATACTATACTATAAACAAAACCATAGTAGACATTGTTTTTTAGACATGAACAAGCAGATTCTAAAATTCTCATGAGCAGTCAGACCACCCAGAATAGTCAAAATAGTCTCAAAATAGAACAACACTGGAAGACTTAAGACTACTTGATCTGAAGACTTACTATTAAGCTGAGTAATCAAGATGATGTGATACTGATTCCTATCTGGTACCATGCATAAAAATTAATTCAAATCAATCATAACCATAAATGTAAACCTTAACCATAACACTCTTGGAAGAAAACAAGGAGAAGGTCTGCTCTTGATTGAATTTAATGTCAAGCACATAGTAACAGTCAAGCAGACAGAAGGACTCTTACCACAAGCTAAAACTTCTGATGGTCAAATACATAAGAAGAGGAAAAGCTAAGTCACAGACTACTGATTATATTTTTCTGGTGCTGTTTATTTTTGCTTGTTTTGAGACAAAGTCTCATGTTTCTTAAACAGGCCTCTAACTTGCTATGTCTGTCCTGCCTCCATCCACTACGAACAGAGATTACAGGCATAGTGTACCACCAGATACTGTGAAAATGTAGTTTCTTATTTTCTGTTTATTAGCATATATTATTGCACAAAATAGTGGGTTTCATTATGACTTTTTTTAATCATACACCAGTAGAATCTTGTTTCCCCCATACTGAAACAATATATTTTCAAATCCTTTATGTATCTCCAATAAGGCTGGAGATATGACTCAGCTGTTAACAGCTACACTCAAAACCAAAAATCTCTCTCTAATAAACAACTTGTCTCCAGATAGAAAAAAAATCCTCAAATGCAGACTTAGGAAAACAATTCACTACAAGAATGGGTAAAAGATACAAACAAATGCTTCAACAATGAAGACACAAAGATAAAAAGTCTATGAAAATATGCTAAATATCATCAATTACTACATTAAAACCAGAAAACATATACATACACACATGTATATATATATTTCAGAATAGCCAATATTCAATATCATTGACAGATGTTACAATATATGGGCAACTGGTCAATTGTGGTTTTTTACATTTATCATTTTATTTCATTTATTTTTAGAATCTCAACCATGAGTACTACATTGACATCATTTCCACCAACAACTTTTCCCCTCCAACTCCTTCCATGCCCTTCTTATTCACTCTCAGTTTCATGACCTCATCTTATTATTGTCACACAACTGGAATTTTTATACACTACTGTGTGAATATAAAACAGCAATATTGAGGAACTGAGATTTTAAAAAGTTAGAATACACATACACACATAACTTTTAAAAAGTTAGAATAACATGACACACGATAATTCTATTCCTAAGCAGAAAAAAAAATAAAGAAACCTTGAATTTTGCAGGCAAATGGATGAAGCTAGAGAACATCATTTTGAGTGAGGTAACCCAGACCCAGAAAGACAATTATTACATGTACTCACTCATAAGTGGTTTTTAAACATAAAGCAAAGAAAACCAGCCTATAAATCACAATCCTAGAGAACCTAGACAACAACGAGGACCCTAAGAGAGACATACATAGATATAATCTATATAGGAAGTAGAAAAAGACAAGATCTCCTGAGTAAATTAGGACCTTGGGAGAGGGTTGAAGAGGAGGGGAGAGGCAGGGAGGGGAGCAGATAAAAATGCAGAGCTCAATAAAAATCAATAAAGTTAAAAAAAATTTTAAATAAAAAACAAAAAGTGAAAGTGTGTTTCCACACAAAGACTTACATACAAATGTTCATAGCAATGGTAACTTGGAACAGCCCACAAGTGCTGGTAATCCAAATATCCATCAACAGATGAATGTAGAAGAAAACTAATTTTTAATTAAAAATAAATAAATGGAAAAAATTACAAATAAAAAGTTGATGTTTCACTACATATTTATATACATTTCTTTATATATTATGGAATAAATGTACAGAAGAACCATTTATTTTAATAAAAACATTTTTGGATGCTGAAAAAAAAGAAAACTAATATATCTATATCATGTACTGCTTAGCAGTAAGAAAACAAATATAGATGGGTGTAACAATCTAGATGAAATTCCAAATAGTTAAGCCAACTAAAAGAAGTCCAAGAGTATAATCTGTTTACATAAAGTTATAGAATCAACACATATCAAAGTAACCATTCCAAGTATGTATACCTTATAATGTCGTGTGTGTGTGTGTGTGTGTGTGACACAAAATAACCTTTCTGGTTTTTTATAAAATTTAGTCTTATTCACACATGAAAATTTTAGACAGGTGTTAGAAAAAAGGAAGAAATATTCAAATGAAGATCACACTTGAGAACATTAAATGCCCTGAAAGAAGCTTCTGTTTGCTCCATTGTAAGGAGCCTGATAAAAGATGCTTCAGTGTCCTACTTTCCTATTCAGTGAGCAAAAACTTCTTGGCCTCATCTATGTTTTCAGTGGAAGAGAAGCCAAAAATTTCTGCACTGTTCTTTTCCTTATTTGTTCAACAAATCATCATCAGTGAAGTCAGCAGCAAAGTGAACAACCCAGAAAGGAATAGTTACTAACCTAGTGTTCCAAAGCAAAGATGATGTAGCTCTAAGTTTCAGTTACAACTGCTTTGCCAAACCAGGCTCCCTGTCTAGAGCCAGAAGCACAAGTAACTATAGTGAACAGATCTGCATGTGCTTTGAACAGCTTCTCCTAACCAACAGGGCACACAACTGAAGAGGATAGTTGTAAATAGCAGATATCATTAGCCTAACAAGCAGTGAAATTACACATGGTGCTTGCTGTTACTTTATATCACCAACACAACAAAATTAGATGCCTTAGTGATAAAGATGTGAAAAGAGCCAAAGCCAAAATCATAAAATTACCTATATGCTTCTCTAATACTGATTAGAAAAATATATAAACTAACTTTTAGAAATGGAGACAAATTTATGTATTTTCATTGATAGCAATTTAGTTGTTTGATATGTGATTATTATCAGAGTTTTAAAGTATACTCCATTTCAAAGCTATCACTTCTTTATTTGTAAGCATAAATCATCATCAATTAAACAAATAACAACAATGTACAAGGCTTGGAGGTATCTTTGCTAAGGTATCTTACAATTGAGCTGGAAGCAACTGATTTTAGGAGTTTTGTTTTGTTTTTTTTTTTTTTTTGTTTTTTGAGACAAGGTTTCTCTGTAGCTTTGGTGCCCGTCCCAGAACTAGCTCTTGTAGACCAGGCTGGCCTCGAACTCCCAGAGATCCACCTGCCTCTGCCTCCTGAGTGCTGGAATTAAAGGCGTGTGCCACCACCGCCCGGCAGGAGTTTATAAAAAAAGTAGCAAAGTATGACTTCTGATTTCCTTATTTATAAAATAGCCAATACAATATCTGAATAATGCAAGCACCTAGTAAGAATGGGTAATACAGCAGGAGAGTAAGATAGATGAAAGGGTAGGATTAAAATACATAATTATTCCTTATTCTTTATATAAAAAATATACTGAATTCAACTCTACAAATTTGTTTGTTGAGACAGAGTTTCACATAACTTAGGCTAGTCTGAAACTTGCTATGTAGCTGAAGATGACTCTCAACTACTGATCCTCCTGCCTCAACTCTCCCTGTTGATGGGTTACCAGGCCCAGTTTATGCAATGCTGAAGTTCCATGGTTCTGAGTATGCTAAGCAAGCATTCTACCAATGAGTCATACTCCAGTCCTCCACAAGCTTTATACTGAGGATCTATAATGTTCCTTGTTACTATGAAAATCACTGCGAAAGAACAAAAAGGAGAAAAAGATAAAAGAAAGCTCTCATTCACTAAAAGATAACAGAATCCTCTTTTAACTTCAAATAACTATGAGACCTTAAATATTAAAATCTAAAGCATCTCATCATCATATTATATATATTTGTTGAAGCCAGATTATAAGCCACTTATGAAAGTCAGAAATTCTATAAGAAAATCAAAGATTATGTATGTATTCATAATATAAAGGAAAACATTTTAATGCAAATTTCCTTGCCTGTTACATTTACTAATACTTATTGAATATAAATACAAACCTGCAGAGGTAGGCAGATCTTGAGTTTGAGGTCAGCCTGGTCTACAAAATGAGTTTTAGAATAGTCAGGGCTACTCAGAAACCCTGTCTTGAAAAACAAAAATGAGAAAATATTGACCACTAAAAAAAAATTACTTAAAGGAACAAATCATTGATAATAGAACATAACATCAAAAAATTGTTTCTCACTTGATTTATTATTAGTCAAGTGCTTAGTTTCCCAGAAAGACAATTCAATATAGGTAAATGAGTTCAAATCTGTTTCTATTACTTTTATAACCCTGTGATAGGATAAACTTATCTTACATAAAAGAATTCCCTACTCCAAGGAGCTAACGAACTTTAGAGAATAAAAATGCAGGAAAAATAGAAAAGAGTAATAGCGGAGTAAGCAGCATACATCCTTTTTGAACGTTTCCTGTAAATACTGAAATTATCCTAATAATCCAAGTTTCTAAGTTTCTTACCATTTACAGCTTTCTCAATCAACTCTTCGCAAGCATCAAAGTCACCCTTCAAGACCAATTTGTCGTGCATATCTGTCAGCATTGGATGTTCCAGTGCAATCTTGGTTTTCTTTTGCAGGGATTCAAAAGCCTCTGTATAGTTGTGTTGTCTGAAGTGTTTTAGACAAAGGCGAATGGCTTCTTGTTCGCGGTACTACTAGAACACAAGAAAAGTAGGGAAGAAAGGAAATCTGCTTAGTTGCCACTGTAGGAAACAGTAAAAATAAAAATAACTCAACTGAGCATTTACTATTTACCAAGAACTATATTTAATCTTTTCATTAGTTACCATTATTTTCACCTGTCAAGTAGTAAGACTGAAGCTTAATGATACTGTAACAATTTGCCCAAGATTATAAGTATGTTACTAAAGGAGATCAAACCAGACATAATCCAAAAGCCTAAATTTTTTTGGGGGGTGGGGTGGTCAAAGACAACATATTCTACATTAAAAACCCTTAAGGCTATAAATTCTGCAATTCCCAGGACAGCAACTAATAGCATCACAATGCAGATGCTAAGAGAAGGACAGCATGAATTTGAAAGTGAGTACTCAATTTACAAACCTTTTTCTTTAACAGGGTTAACACCAGAAATAAAGATAAATTCAGAAAAATAATTTAAAAACAAACAGTAATTTAAAAAAGACACAAAAATATGTGCTGGGATTACCTCAAATTTTCTAAGCATATTGCTTTATAATAAGAAGTAAACAAAATTATATAGAAACACTGTATGACAATTTAAAAAAATGAAAAACAATTATTTACCTATAAGTATTACCCTGGAATAAAAAAAAAAAAAAAACCCAAAAGACTTGAAGAATAGCCAGTTCATAGTTACCTCACTTCTCAACTAATAAAAGGTTATCAAATCAAATCCCTATTGCTTATATAATATAATTATCAGTATGTAACCTCATCAAATAACCAGAGTGATTCTGTAACTCCACTAATTTCACCTGCCCTTCCCTCCTCTCCCGCTTTGGGCATCACAAACAGATTTAATATTAAATATCTATATAAGAGCAGTTCTATTAAAGAACAATATTTATCTATCCCGCTGACTTAAGGCATTTCAATCATGTTCAAATATTAACGTTTGTATCAGGTTGTAAAAGTAACCCAGCAAAAATTGTATTCAAAATATTCATATCATTTTATATCAAAAATCAAATTGAGAGCTAAGTAAATATAATAAAATAACAGCAAACTGTAGAGCCCCGCTGCCTGAGTCCAAATTCTGGCTCAAGCACTTTACAACTCTGTGAGCCTCTCTGCCCCATTTCCTCATCTATGAAATGATAAGGATTGATAATTACATCTCGTAAAATGATAACAATTTAAATGAGTTAGGAATGCTAAGCAGATGACAACTATAATGCTTTAAAATGTTAACTGATTAATCTTAATTTTTACTATTATCCCCAACATTTCAAATTGGTCACAACAAAGAAATTGGCACATTTCTTCTTCATTAGGAATCAAAATCTAATTGTAAAGCAGTCCTACCTTGCTGTACCAGTTCAGACAGGGCTGCACTATATCGGGGTCATCAATGCCACTAAGCTCAACATACCAGATGCTAAAATTAAAGCTGGGCCCCCAGGAAAGAAGTGGAACTTTAGGAGGAAAAGCAAAAAGAGGGAAAAAATTAATTTCAAAGAAGTAAAATTACTAATGTTTAAGTCTATATGGATTTATTCATCAAAATCTCTGCACACACCCCCCATACCTGCATTTTCAGTCTTCAGGAGGCTATGGCAGGAGGAACAAGAGTTTCTAGGCTACACAGTGAACTCTGACTCAAAAGAGCAACAACAAAAACATGCATTTAGAAACTAGTGTTTAATTTCTAAAAGATGGTTCATGATATTAAAAAACAAATCTGACTAAAGCTTCATTTTTTTAGTTAACAAAAACTGTAATTAACTTCAAAGCCATCATACATCTACTCCTAAATAAATAAAATCCAAACTAGATAATATAACAGACGTTACTGATCCTACATGCAGCAGATAATATATATATTTTAAAAATTTTTGTGGTTTATTTAACTTTATTTTATGGTCATTGGTGTGAAGGTGTCAGATCCCCTGCAACTGGATCTTCAGACAGTTGTGAGCCACCATGTGGGTGCTGGAAATTGAACCCGGGTCCTCTGGAAGAGTAGTCAGTACTCTTAACCACTGAGCCATTTCTCCAGTCCCCAGCAGATAATATTTTAAAATTGTATCCCAGTATAGATTAAAGCTTCAACTATTTATCAATATATAATCCTAAAAACAAATCCAAAGAAAAAATACTCAATCTCAAATATGAAAAAGTCAATCTCAACTATTCTTAATACATAAATAATAGCAAAAAGAAGCAACAATAAAAAATATCTCATAGATTTTCTTTATAAAAAAAGACTTCCTTCAAAGACTGCAAGATGATCTGATAAAAAAAAGATGTGTGATGCAATTTACCACCTTAAGAAAAGCCAAAAGGAAAAAATATGTTCAATTACTTTTAAAAATCACCTTACGTCTTAAACATTAAACCTGAGAAAATATTAAATACTATTGTTCAAGTCAGAACAAGACAAGAAACCAGTTTCTCCACTAATCAATACTACACTAGATGTCTTAACCAGAACAGTGGGGGCGGGGTTTGGGGTGGAAAATGATCCAGCAGTTAAGAACAGTTGCTGCTCTTCCAAAGGACCCAGGTTTAGTTCCCCGTACAAACATCCATAATTATAGTTCAAGAGGATCAGATGCCCTCTTCTGAGCTTCTCATGCACTAGACACATGGTACATGGTGCACATACATGAAGGCAAAACATATGCATAAAGTAAAAATGAAATCTAATTTAAAAAGCTGACAGTAAGAAAAAAATAGTCACTTGAGGATGGCATGGCTGTCTATCTGAAAGACTTGACTGGCTGTCCGATATTACTGTTCAACCAGGTATACAGAAGAAATTTAACTGTAACACAAGTACTTAAAAAGGACTTTAATAAATCAATGCTTTGTTAGGACTTGAATAAATACAGTAATTACTACCACAGTCTTGAGGGTCTCCATGATTCCCTTTGAGTCTACTCTTGAACACTATTATTACCAAAAAAAATTCTCAAAAATAAAAATGTGGGATTTTGGAATTAACCATTGTTCTTCAATAATAAATATGATTTCTTTGATTCCAATTTTAGTAAAAAAAAAAAAACTTCTAAAGGCATGAGGTAGAGATAGAAATCCAAAGGCTCAGTCCTTAACATCTCTGCCCTCTAAATACCAAATCTAGACACAGAATTTAACAAGCCTAGCCTTAAGGATGTATTGCAAGCCCTTTCATAAGCTTAAAACACTTGTTAATAAGCATATGCCTTAAGACAGTATTTCTGAACTATAGTTTGCATATCATTGCTGAAACATGAGATTGACAAGTTTAACCTAAATGTCATGTAAAAGGTGAAATAGAGAAGAACAAAGCAATGATCACACTACAGTACCTTGGAAAACTCATCAGTATTTGTGCTCAGCTGACAACTCTAGAATAAATGACAAACCTCCATGCATGATTAAAAGGCAATCAGATCACAACAATCCTACAAAATCTTGTAAGAACCCTTTCAAAAGAGAAAACACTTTGAAAAAACATCCTCACTATATTACTGTCATTTAATAATGGATTCATAAAGCAATGGTCAGCAAACATTTCTGTAAAGGGCCAACAGAAATCTTTTCAGTTTGGTAGGCTATGCGATTCTTTAAACTATCCACCTCTCTACCTTGGAGCACAAAAGCAGTCGAAACCAATGCACAAACTAACCAGTGCAGCAACACTCCAACTAAAAAACTACAACAGACAGACCTAGAGAATCTGGTCCATACACTAGAGACTATGAACGAAAGGCACTAAAAGACTGTTTTAATTCCAAAACACTAAAACCTTACCAATTTTAATGAATCGACAAGGGAACATCTGTTCATCAATTTTATGTTTCAAGGTAAATGTCTCTTTGTTATAATCATTCTTCAAGCCACTGTTGGGTGGGGGAGGAAAAAAAACTATATGTTATCAAATATGATTTCACAATTTAGTAAACACACTAAGACATTCTGCTCTTACACTCAGATGTTAAGCTTTAAATCAGTGCTCACACTGCATATACAATATGATATAAACAAATAACAGAACATGAAAACATAAGTCAAAATGTGTATATCCAAACTAACTGCATACTGTTGTGCTTTTCAAGACTATACTAAAGCTAATGAAAAAACGGTCCACATTAACTAAAGAATGGGGCTATATGCATGGAAATTTAGTGTAAAATTAATTTAATCTGAAAAATTTTCAAGTAGTAGGAAAGGAATTAAAAACCATTCATAGCTAACAAGTTCAACAAGGCAAATTTTAGAATTTATCAAAGAATTAATTTATTAATTATCTTTTTATCATTCACAAATTTTCAAAGGCAATCTTGGTCTGCTAAATTGATTTAATAGCATCTCCTTGAACCTAAGTAAACACTAACCCAGATCACCTCTTGTTTAACCAAGACTGATACAAGTGTTTACAGGAAAATCCCTTATCATCAGACTACCTTACTCCCTAAAATACTTCTATGACTTAAAATAGAGCACACAACCAGTATTTAGTTCAGTATTTTCTTAATGGGATTGCCATGTCACAAATACATTCTAATATTCACGGCTCTCTTTCCACTGCTGTCTGACTTCTCATCACGCTGGGATGTAGCTGCTTTAGAACTCCGATTTTCTGAACTTTTCCCAAACGGCAAACAATGTGTTACAAGCTGCCACATTCTGTTTTGCTTTCATTCACTGAACCTTCTCCTTTTTCATCTCAAACAGTAAAATCTTAGACTACTATTTTTGATTAGACAATTCATATTTTGTGTAAGGTTTATATTTTCCAATAGTCATGGTTTTTATCCTTCCACCACAAATGGGTGAGTGGTTTGCTCTGGAAGTGATAGGGACTGAGCCCAGAGATTTTCATTAGAGTAGAAAGCATTTCTAAGATTATGTGAGATCAAAATTATGAATAGGAAAAAAGAAACATTTGATTCTTTCTCCTTTATTTAATAATTTTAGCTAGTATCTGGTAGTTTAAAAAAATGAAACAAACAACCCCCATCAATTTAGGTCACAGCAAAGACACTAGGAATAAAGCCAGAGAAATGTTCTTTCTTTCCTTCCTTGGAAAGGGCACACAGGTTCAGCTATAAACAAAGTATACTAAATCTGCAGTGTGTTTCAAAGACAGTCCTTTCTTCCCCACAACCAAGCCTACCTAGACAGCAGTTCTGTCATATTTTCTTCATTCATTCCACCAAAGACTTTGAATTTCTTCAAATTGCAGACATGGGTTTTCTCATACTTTCCAAATGTAATATTCTGAACTATAGCAGGCCTTTCAAGCTTCAGAATCAAGTACTGGGGAAGAAAAAAAGAAGAAACAACAAAACTATACCCTCTGATTAAAACATATACCAAACTTTAAATATTATAACTTTTGACAGTTAACAGAATAATAAGTTCAATCTTAGGATGAAAGGCTGGAAGCTTTTGTTTTGTTTAAAAGCTAAGGAATAATTAATAACACCCTTCTAATGATTGTTACCATTCTTCACTCAACAGAGGCCACCAGCTACATTCTTCCGAATGTTGAAAACAGACTGAAAGAAGCCAAAGTAATGTAAATTCTAATCAGTGAATGATAGATATAAAGACATAACCAGACTAGAAAAAACAAATAAATGAGATTACAATGCAAAAATAGTAATCACCCACTCCCATGAAATGAAGTTGGCAGATCAAAATCTCATTATATACATTATATATTACTATACACTTAAAATTAATCAAAACTTATCAAAATTTATTTCTTAGAATAAAATATTTAGATGTCATTTATATTAAAACTTTGAAGCACTCCACGAAAACCCGAGTAAATCTTTATGGCATTAGCTTTGGCTGAGTATTCTCAGGTGTACATACCATAAAGTTTCTCGTGCAAATAGCCAGTTTCCCAACACCATTTGTTAGAGTCTACCTTTTCTCCAATGACTAGTTCTAGCATTTTTGTCAAAAAACAGGTGGCTGTAGCTGCATGGATTTATATCTAGATGTTCTAGTCTGTTCCACTGATCTATATTTCTGATTGTGCTAATACCGTGCTTAGTTTTAGCTCTGTAATACCTTGAAATGAGGTGTGGTGATATCTCTGCTTGTTTTCTTTCCCTTCCTCTGTCCCTCCTTCCTTCTTTTATTCCTCCCTTCCTCCCTTCCTTTCTTTCTTTATTGGGGGTGGGGAGGACAGGATTGATTTGGATATCTGAAGACCTTTTTTTGTTTCCAAATAAATTTTAAGATTGCTCTTTATATTTCCATGAAGTATGGTGTTGGCCTCCTGATTGGGATTTCATTCAATCTTGTAGACTACTTTTGTTAAGATAGCCATTTGCACAATTCTTCCAGTCCATGAGCTCAGGTATCTTTTCATCTTCTAGGTCTTTCACATCCTTGGTTAGATTTAGTTCAAGATTATGGGTGTGAATTGTAAATAGGACTGTTTCCTTAATGTCTTTCTCAATGTGTACTGGTCTAAAAGAAGACTACTGATTTTGCAGACTGCCACTTTGCTCAAAATGTTTGTCAGTACTAAGAGTTTTCTGGTACAGCCTATAGGATCTTATATATAGAATCTTTCATCTTCAAATCTTTCCTATTTGTATGCCTTTTGTTTCTCTTGTCTAGCTAAGAATTCCAATACTATATTGAGTAAGCAATGAAAATGGACACCCTTAGTTTGTTCTTTGATATCAGTGGAAATGTTTTGAGTTCTGCCCCATTTAGTATACTGTTGGCTATAAGTTTGTTGTACAGCCTTTAAATACTGAGACATGTTCCTTCTGTTCCCAGTTTCTCTTTAACTGAAATTTCAGAAGGCTGTGAATTGCCACATGGATCTGGGAATTGAACCCAGATCCTCTGTAAGTGCAGTTAATACTCTTAATAGTAGATCCATCTATCTATCCAGCTCCCACTTCAGGATTTTTATCAGGAAAAGATAAGACGATCATATGATTTTTGTCTTTGAGTCCATTCATGTAACATGCTACATGCAATGATCTCTGTATGTGGAACCCTCCCAGCATCTCTGGACTAAAGCCAACCTCATCATCATGATGGTCTTTCTTATGAGCATTTATACTCAGTTAGTGAGCACTTTACTAAGAAATTTTGCAGTGCTTTAAGGAAACTGATCTAATTATGTGTATTTATATGATTTTGTTAGCAGTTATCAGAGTAATATAATACTGTCTTTAATAAAGAGTTTTGTAGTGTTTCTTCATTTCCTACTTTATGAAAGAGTTTCAGAAGAATTACTTTTAGTTTTTTGGAGGTCTGGTAAAACTCACCAGTGAATCCAACTTGGACTGCACTTTTCTAGTCAGATTTATTTTTATTACTACTTTAATCTCACTGCTTGTAACAGAAGTGGTTAAATTATTTCATCATAGTTCAGTTTTGGTGGCTCAATTTTGATGAACATAGAAATAGATCATTCTTTTTAGATTTTTCCAATTTAGTAGAATACACACGTACATACATATGTATATTGGTTTTGAGATGGGATCTCACCATGTAGACCAGGCTTGCCTGCCTCTGCCTCCCTCACAGTGCTACAAGCGTGTGTCAGCACAGCCAGTGAGCATACACTCCTAAAGCATTCCTTTCCCATCTCTAATTTTATTAAGTTGGGACCTTTTTTGGTCATTTAGTCTGAGTTTATAGATCTCGTTTATCCTTTCAAAGAACCAACTCTGTTTCAGTGATTTTTTTTTGTACTATTTTTGGTTTTTGTTTCTCATTAATCTCTGCCTTTAACTTTTTATTTATTTTTATGTGTATAGGGAGGTGGTGTAGAGAGCCTAGAAGATGTCAGGTGACCTCCTCTATTAATTTCCACCTTACTCCTTTGAGGCAAGGCCAATCACTTCTTAAACCTGGAGCTCAATTTTTTTTCAACCAGGCTTAGCAGCCAACAAACCATAGTGGTCCTCTTGTCCATGGTCCCCCAGAACTGTAATTAATGTGCACATAGGAACATAAGTGAGTGCAGAGATCCGAACTCAGGGCTTCATGCCTGCACGGCAAGAGCTCTTCGCTCCTAAGCCATGTCTCCATATTCTCAAGCATTTCTTTTTATCTACTGATTTTGGAGTTTAGTGTTTTTGGAGTTTTGTTACAAGCTAGAGTTATTAGAGATGAAAAAGCCTCAGTTGAGGAAATGCCTCAATGAGATCCAGCTAAGGCATTTTCTCAATGAGTGATGATCAATGTGGGAGGGCCCAGTCCACGGTGGGTGGTGCCATCCCTGGGAGGGCAGTCCCAGCCAGAAAGCAGAGTGGGCAAGCCATGGAGAGCAAGCCAGCCAGCAGCACAACTCTGCGGCTTCTGCATCAGGCCCTGCCTCTAGGTTCCTACCATGTTTGAGTTGCTGCTCTGACTTCCTCCAATAATGGACTAGGATCTAGAAGTGTAAGGCTAATAAACCCTTTCCTCCCCAACTTGCTTTTTGGTCATGGTGTTTTGTCACAGCAATAGAAACACTAACTAAGATCGGGAGGAGGGGAGGGAGCAGTTAGTTTGTTATTATTTCTCCAACCCTAAGATGTAGCATTAAATTATGAGGTCTTTCTAATTTCTTAATGTAGGCACTAAGAGTTCCAATATTCTTTCTTAGGAGTACTTTCGTTCTATTCCATAGACTTTGGTACATTGTGCTTCTTTTTCACTTGATTTGTTTGTTTGTTTGTTTGTTTTGAAACAGGGTTTCTCTGTGTAGCTTTGGAGTGTATCCTGGAACTCGCTCTAAAGACCAAGCTATCCTCAAACTCACAGAGATCTGCCTGCCTCTGACTCCGGGGTGCTGGGATTAAAAGCATGTACCGCCACCACTTGGCTCACTCGATTTTTAAAATAGTTTTATTTCTTTTTGATAGCATGTTGTTAGACCTCTATAAGTTTGTATATGTTCTACAGTCAATTTAACTGTTGTTTTATAATTTTTCATTGTCATCAGATAGAATACAAAGAATTATTTCTATTCTCCATAACTGTTCAGATTTCTTCTATTTTCTAATATAAAATTTTAGACAAAGTTCCATGGACTGCTGAGAAGAGTTTGTATTCTGCAGTTTTAAGAGAGAATGTTCTGTCAATATTTGTTAAGTCCTTTTGATCATGATCCAGATGCTTCAATTTACTTTTTGACATGAACTCAAAATTGACAGAGAGGCCAGGCAGTGGTGTCACACACTTTAATCCCAGCACTCCGGAGGCAGAGACAGGCCAATCTCTGTTAGTTCAAGGCCAGCCTGGTCTACAGAGTGAGTTCCAGGACAACCAGAGCTCACAGAAAAACCCTGTCTTGAAAAACAAAACAAACATGGAGTCAAACTGTGTCTTTGAACCTTGCAAAGTGTGTCTTATGAAAACGAGTGCACTTGTACTCAGCACATGTATCAATCTTTAAAACTGTAATGTCTCCTTGTTGGATAAATCTCTCTTTTGTGTTTTCAGGTTATCTCATTTTTATTAGTTTTTTGAGAATTTTGTACAATGCATTTTTATTATAGCTACATACCCCTACTTCCAGATCCATCCTTACCCACCCAGCTTGTATCCTCTTTTTCAAAACTCATCAAGTACAGTTTATGCTGCATGTATACTCTAGGATGTGTGGCCCTTACTAGAGAGAGGATGGTCCACCTACCAAGGTCCATACCTTAAAGAAAAATAACTGTTCCTCTCCTAGCAGCAGCTTTCAACTACCAACAGCTCCTTAGTCAGAGGTGGGACTTCATGCCCACCTCTCCTCTCCATGTTGTAACTTGGCTTACCTAGCTTACACAGGTCTTTTGAAGCTGTTCTAACCACTGTGAATTCACATGTGCAACTTCCCTGCTGTATTCAGAAAAATTCTGCTTCCGTTTAGTCATCTACTGACTCTGGCTCTTACAATCTTCCTGTCCCCTCTTTCCAAATGATTCCTAAGCCTTGGAAGAAGGGGTTGCTATACGAATGTCTCAATCTCTTCTCTCTGCACCATGACCATTGTGGATCTCGGGTTTATCACTGTTGAGTACAAAAAGCATCTTCTCTGATAAGAGTTGACAGATGTACTAATTTATAGGTATAATAAGTCATCAGGAGTCAACTTAATACTATGTGCATTAGCAGAGTAGTAGTAATAGAGTCTATCCTAGGGTCTGTACCCTATCTAACCGAAGGTTCCTGTTCCTGATGATGATGCCATACCTGTGGAGCAGGCCTTAAATCCAATCAGGAATCTTTCTTTCTAAGGTTTCATGACATTTCTGCGGCTACTGTCTTGTCTTGGCAGGTAGATCATCATTGTAGAACAT